GTGACCTTAGAATAAAAGCCTATCGGTAATCGAGCACCGAGAATAGTGCAATTAATATTCTGGAAAGATTAAATTATGTATGATATGGAAAAATAGAGTTTACAGAAGGTGCAAATATACACTACACTACTACCGTATAGTTGAGGCGGTTGATGTGAAAAACTGGATACAATAAGATTGTGTTTGGCGGTATGGTMTCGATGACTGGAAAACCCAAAGAAAAATAGTGGKAGATGATAGTTTCATRCCCATCTCATATCGTGGAMAAAGACTTTAACTCGCGGTCATAATGTTCATAAATTATTATAATATATTGTAGCCGTACAACGTTTACGTTTTTACTGTAAAACTTGTAAATCGTTCACGGTAAGTAGAATAACCGTTTACAGTTAAGTGCCAAAGTATGTTAATTATATTATATTAATCTCATCTACCGCATAATAATAATTGTTCTCAGACGTTTTATTGCTATTGGAGTTTGTAATTTGTACGTATTGCACGAAATTAAAGATTATGTCATTTGCACCACTGCATGCAGTTAGTCGAAAATAGAATTTGTAATTTGCACCATAACGATTATTTATTGGTTCGATTATCGAATATTCGATTTTGAAATATTCGATTATTGTTCGATATCCTAGTTGACGTCAAGATGGACATTGGACAGTGGACACGAATAATGACAATAATAATTTTCCAGGATTTTTCWCCTTATCTGGTAATATTTTGACGTTTTACATCCAATTATCGGACGTAATCGCATTATATATATATATATATATTTTTTATATAATCTATATCAGTTTATTATTTTGATCAAATACTAAACTATACGTTTAATCTTGCCGTTTCGTCGTAATACGTAATTTAACGTAATATTTTTGTAGTGTAGTTTTTAATTTTTTTCTTGAAATATAGAATTTAAAAGTAATCTCAGGAAAAACATTTTAGAATGCAATAAACATATTTTTTCATATAAAACAAAAACTACAAATATAATTCGTCGGTGTTGTACGCAGAGAAAATGTTCAGCAAAATTGTTTTATTTTTATTTTTATTTTACACGTAATATTTTTCATTGGCTAACTTTTTTTATATTCATAATAATAYGATTTTATATAAACTTACAACAATATGTGTATATAAGCTCAGCTATTTTATAAATAAAAACTAAGCTTAAGTTATATTAGTATACAAAATCTTGTAAGTTGATACTATCAAAAAAAAAAAATAATCGATTTTAATTTTGGCGCAAAGTACAATTCCTATTTTTTACTACCTGAGGATTCAAATTACATATCCCTATTTGAGTGCAAATTATAAACGCATTTWAAAAAAATTGTGTGAATTACACATGTCGTATACATATTATATTGGGTCAATTTTGGTGCAAATTGACTACATCCATTACTATTACCTATATCATAATAAGGTATCTACGGTCGACCGATCTGTTACAGCCGACACYCTGCGTAGCTTCGGCGTGGTGACACATATACTTAGTTTGGTATGATATTATTATATTTTATCACATAGCTAGGCTATTTAGATAATACATAGCGCGACCACTGATGACATATATTTTATAATAATTACACCGTGGTACTTATCGCGTAGTTGATCTAAACACTCGCATCGTTACCGTGTTCACGTCCACGCATGTTACATATTTCTTATTCGTCGTCGTCGTCGTACATTTAACTCTGATGATGGTTATACATATTATAATGGCTACGGTGATGATGACGATAATAACTTAAAATGAGCGAACAACCGAATCAGTACATAAAAGCACGAGATTTGCTCGTTTCCGACTTAATGCCACTGGTGCATCATGAGTGTGCAGTACGCGTTTATCGCATTGGCTGCCGCCGCGGYCGTCGTTCGAGTCGACGGATACCACGACATCTTGTCCAACTTGTACGATTGCGGACCGACGGTGGACTTAGATGGGTGCCTCGAACGCCGATTGGCACAAACCATCGATGAAGTATTGCACAAGAACGAGACTTACAGGCTGAACCGGTATATAACCGTTACCGTGGTCGGTAACCGCCGCCAATATCCTGCAGGCGACGAATTGGCCGAACGGTTTTTGGACTTTTTCAACGCGCTGCAAATCCAGTACCGACCGGAAGAAGATGACGACGGATTGACCGATGACGTTTTTGAAGGTATCGCMTCACTAGTACAGCTAGACAGTGTTATGAATTCTATAGAATAGTACGCATAAATTGAATATAATAAACAAGKCACCGCGAAGGGGAGGAGCTGTTGGACCTGAAATACAGGGGCCCTGAAATGAATAAGTAATTTTTAAAATGTTGATAGAAATCCTTATCATATAATATTCTATAAGGCCAGAAAACGTTATTAGTACAGAGGCCTAAAATTCGATGACACCCTCTGCCGAGTTGCTGAAAAAGTTTTTTTATATTAATTCTATATTTTATTGTGTTTTTTTATAATATATTTAAATCAATAAACTTATCCTTCACTCTGTTAATTCTGAATATTTATAATTATTATACTTATTACGGCAGTCATTATGCCGTATTATAAATTTGGAAAATCGGTTACAGGTCGTAAGAAAAAAGGAGGCGTTAAGTTCAAAAAGCACAGTAAATATGGCATGATGCTTGGATTCATGTCGATGGGCATGACCATCATCGGTGGTCTGTTCAACAAAATGATGATGGTCGGCGCGATATCGATAGCCGTAAAAGCTCTGATCATAGCCAAAATCGCATTGCTCCTGGCCGGCACCATGGCGATAAAAAAGCTGTTGAGCAGTGGCGTCGGTGCAAGCATGGTCAGCGCCCAGCCATCGTGGAGCGGCGGCGGAGGAGGTGGAAACGAACACCACGGCGGGTACCGCAGGAGTTACGACCAGCATCCAAGTATGGCTACAGCCGACTCGTTGGCTTACAGGAATCAAATAGACACGTACAGCAACGCACAATATACCCAGTAGTCTTGCGATGTATGATTAGTTACCAGAGGTGGATTAAACGGTTTAAAATATAAAGTCAGAACATCCATAAGAGGAACTTCGTGAAAATCGTATCAGTAACATAAGGCACTTTTGAAATTGATGTTCCTATATTAACTTTACCTAACAATGGCAAATGGTATTGAAATTTGTAATATAAAATGTATTATGTTATGGAAAACAGGAAAACATTTAAAAACAAATTAACTCAATCGTTTAGTTTAACCCCACCCAAGTACGTATACACATTAGGCGAGGGCCTGGTCAGTATTTGCCTAMTAAAAAACCGTTAAATCCACCACTTTTAGTCGCATAACGTCAAGTGTAAATTATGTTATTATTGTAGTTGATACGAACATAGGATGTTAAATCGTCGCTTCGTGACGTCTTAAAGTCCCCGATGGTGTACACATATTTTTGTCATAATGTAAACATTTAACTGATAAAAATATGTGCACAAAATCGTTCATGGTTATATTTTTATTTTTTTT